TGCAGACGCTGTGTGGGTGAACTTTTCAAAGAGAAGTTGTAATGCCAAACAAATATAGAACAGAAAAAAAGCATGACTTTTTGCAACAAGTATTAGCCATATTTAATTGCTTCCTGTCCGTCCATTGCCTATAGATAGTGGACAGGAAGCAGCGCCAATGTACAAGTACGTCAACCCACATCAGAGCCTGCGTGGCTCACAGTGCATGCACCCAGGAGCCTGTGCATCACCCAGGCACAGAGGAATACATTACCACTATGTCTGGCTGGTCACATGGTATTGTGCCATGTGATTGTTGTGTCCAGTCACAGTAATCACATAGTAAACAATACCAAGTGAAAGTAAAGTTTGGTTCTCTCTGCTCTCACTCTGAGAGTACTTGTGGGGAGGTGGGGGGGGGAGTTAGTCTTTTTAGTTTTTTGTGTAACACAGATGACAAACATTTGTTTAGTCTTCACACGGACTGCAATTACAAGAGTTGTGATAATTGCAAAAAAACAAAAACACCTCCCTGGGATTTTACAGGCAGAAAAGACAAAATATCTATGGGTTATTTTTTTTTAAAAAGTGTCTTAATCTTTACTACAAAGTTTTTTAATAAAATAAAGCAAAGGTCGATAAAATCATATGACCAATGCATGAATACTCATGTGGAGAAAGAATGTTGCCAACAAGATATAATACATGTACCCTTTAGCATTTCTAGGCAGGATTTTCTCATAAAAAAAAGCATGGGCTATAGTGGTTTAAACCATAATGTGCTAGTATTCACTGCATATTAGCACATTATGGCATACTTCCCTTAAAACAAAGCCATCCAGCAGCTCTCTGTCTGTCAGGGATCCCGGCCGCTCGGTGGTGCACGCATGCGCAGATTGCCGACTCGTCCTAGCCAGTGAGCACTGAGTCTTAGGCCATTGCAGCGGCTGCAGCCGCGCATGCGCACTCACGGACGCACCAATGAGAGCACAGGGCGCCCTATTTAAACCAGCCCTGTGCATCTCCAAATTGCCTTATGGTCTTGTTCCTGTGTTCCTGATTACCCCTGTGCTCCTGATTACCTTGTTGGCGACCCAGCCTGTTCCTGATACTGCTGTCTTCTCCTGCTCTGACCCCTGGCTCATCCTGACTACTCTCTGCCTGATCCTGATTGCCTGACCTCCTGTTACTGAACCCGGCTTGTGACCTGTTATTCTTTTGCCTACCACTTTGTACTGCCTGCTCCACTGTTGCCCACTCGGCCTGTCTGACCACGCATACCTCTTCACATCTGGCTCTTACCTGCTCCACGCCATTAGCATCCGCCTCTACCACAGCTGGTGTTTCTCGGGGGTCGCGACCTGGTCTCAGGCTGCTTCAAGTCCATCCCCACCATCAGGGGCTCTGGTGAACCAGCAGACTGAGGCTTAGACTCCGCGCCCTGAGGGACCCCGGCCAGTGGGCCGCTAGAGGCTACCGCCAGTCGGCTACTGCAATGTCACTGCTGACAAAGCTTCCATATTCACCCGGTCTTCCTTCCAGGTTTGCGGGTTCCAGTTCTTTGAGTGGCTGAACCACAATGTCGTCACTCATACGCATGTGCATGGAAATCATGGCTGTGGCACAGAGCTCTGGAGTGACGGCATGAGTGATGCAACCAGCAAATTTAGGAAATATTCACTGTACTTACAAGTAAGTCTTATAATAGGCTTACCTGTAGGTACAAGTTCAAAAGCGGAGTTTAGTACAGCTTTAAATTTACATATGCCAACTTCAAATAGATTTCCAATGACTTGGATGACAAAAACCTTCACAAAGTAACTCATGCAAACTTTTTTTTTGTGTGTTTAATTATACAACAGCTATGCCTTTATTGTTCTACATAATGAATGAATAGTAAAGTAAAGTTTTGGACTGAAACACACTAAAACATTCAAAAATATATTCTGAGTTTATTGTTATGGAAAGTGAAAAGACCAACAAAATTACTGTAGCAGCTGTTGCACTGTATGCTACAGCAGGTACATCATATTCAGTGTTTTGTCCTTAGTTAGCCAGATGGTAGGATCAGATGGTAGAAGACCACATTGCTACACAGAGCAATAATGCAGTTTGCTGATTTTTTTAATAGAAATGTTCAAGATTTTTAATTCTAATCACAATTAAACACAAATAACTATCTCACTCATGAGCAACAAAATTGTATGCAGCATTCTTAGCTGTCCTGGAGCAATAAATACTGTTTTTTTATGTCTTAGAAAACTAAAACCAAACTGGTGTAGGCCTATATTCAGAGAAAATAAGCAAGCTAAATTTAATTTAAAAAAATAACAGTTTTAGTGCCTCTTGTTTACATTTTTGACATTATAGAACGATAAATAGTATTAAAATGCTAATTAATGCTTCCAGGTTCAGGAAATACATGAAGGATATTATATACTGTATTTTTAGGTTCCCTACTTGACTATATATTTTAATAGGAAAGGTGACTTTTATAGTCAGCAGCTTTTCAAAGGATAGTATGTGGTATGAGAAACAGTCATTAATGCTGATACACTCCACCACACACACACGTCTTTTTCTTCAATGAAAAGAGTGCAGCTGTTAGTTTTTCTTGAATTAGAGAATCTAAAAAAGAATAGAAGAAATGTTTAAGTTAAAAAGTTCCCTTTAAAGACTTTTAAGCCTTTGAATCTGAGAAACACTAGTCTTAATGATCTGCAATTATTTGTATGATTTTTTTGATGTGTATCTCATTGAACTGCTGCAAGCTCTATTACTTTTGATTTCTGACCAAGATACTTAAAAGCGAATACATATTCTTCCAGAATAGAATTAACCTGCTACATTTCAATGGACAGATGTCTCAAAGAATTATTGATTTGACCAGTTCCTAAGCCACTTAATACTGGAGCCAGAGCCCTAAAGTGGTTTTAACCTTTTTTTTTTAATCTTAATGCATTCCCTACATTAAGGTAACCAATCTTCTAATACCTGCTTCCCCTTATCCTTAGAGCTTAGGATATTTGGTGAAGCTCTACTGATTCCATTATCTCCATCATCCAAACACGTGCAAGCAAAAATGTTGTTTTTTTTTTCCCTTGCATGTGATTTGATATTATATGCAAAGTGAATTTTCTCCACATTCACTAAGCTTTGGGGAAAACTTTCTTTGCAAAATGAACATCCTATTTGCCTTTATTAAATCAATCACAATGTACATATAAAGCCCAAACTTTTTTTTTGGATGTAGTGTGGAAGGGATAGATCTTCTGTCAGGTATCTCCTACTAGTGACCTCTCACATCCGAACTGAAAGGGAAAGAAAATCTGACATTCCGAGCTTTTTCCAGAACATGAATAGGGGGACATTTGGACATCTTCCGATGAGGACACTTATTCTAGGAATAACTGTCTACAGTTTACAGGACAGGACGTTATATATCCACAGTTGGATACAGATGGCACAAATACTGGCCGTGTTTTTAACTACCCCCTAAACTAACCAGCATTTTAAAAAATGGTTTTGGATCTACAGTACAGTTAAAGTGTTGTGTATTTATTGGCTTTCAATTTCTAGGGAATTAATTTTGCAAATAATGTATTTATTTATTTTTTCTAGGTGGAGCTAGATCCCTGATGGCTAGAGAGGTGGGCCTTGGAGGCAGTGGGTGGATCTGAGGAGTGGCTGGCTGCACTTCTGAGGGACCTTGGGCAATCCACAGCAGGAGGCTGGCAGTGGGCTGAACTCCTTTAAAAAATGTTTGGAGCCTGTTCAGTCAGAAGGGAGTCGGGTAGAAGAGTGGAGTGAGGAAGATGTAAGGCTGGTGGAGGAGGACTGTCAGGAGGCCTGCTGGGATGGGACCTGCCTGTGAGCCTGGAGTTATGGAGGAGGAAAGCTCAGCGCTCACTGGTCCCTTGGGAGAGGATCACCTGTTTGACAAGGAAGAAGCACCCCAGCTGATAGGCCTGGAAGTAGCAGTCATTCCACGAGTTTTGCACGAGAGGATCTGAGTGAGTACACCTAGACCCCTTGGGCGTATAGGGGAAGGAGCACTCTGGTGAGAAACCGGATTACTCTCTTTCTAGTGACTGTACACTTTGCTTAAAGGAACAAGAGCGAGATGCCCCGCTCAGGAAAGGAAACTTACAGACTGCTGGGTGGGAGAGGAGTTCATCTGGGGTCTGTAGTACTACAACAGGAGTTACTGGCTAACACTCAAACAAGAGACTGTGTTGCAGTGGAGAAGTTGTGAATAGTTCAGGTAGTTTGTCCTCAGATTTCATTTACCCTTGGGCATCGTATTCATCCCTTTACCCTATAGTTCAATCGCCTCAATAGAAAAACCAAACAAATGCTCAAGGTCTGATTTTCTGTCTGTGGATGAACGCTGTGTGGACAACGCTCATTATTTGGCTGTGCATGACTATAGGTGGACCCAAATTCAACCGCAACTCCCAAGGGGGTAGTGCTACGTATATTTTGCTGTATGCAAATGAATACAGTGCATGGGGCATTCTGTCAAACTGAAAATGAAATGAAAAATGCATCAACAGCTGTTATCTTTAGCAGGAGATTAACTAGTTGCCGACCGCAGATAGCCGAATGACGGCTGCACTGCGGCCGGCCAGTTCTGGGTGGACGTCATATGACGGCCTCCCAGAACGCGCTCTCCTGCGCGCCCCAGGGGGCGCGCACCCGGCGATCTCCATGATCGCTGTGTCCTACGGACACAGCTGATCACGTGATGTGGTAAAAGGCCGATCACAGCGGCCTTTTACCACGTGATCAGCGGTGTCCAATGACACGCTGATCACAGGGAAATGCAAGTGCCGGTTCTCGGCTGCACTTTCCTCACGCTGTCAGATCGTGAGGAAAGTACTGCCGAGAACCGGCAGTTGTCAGAGCGGGGATCGGCACCGATCATCAGGGCACTGATGATCAGTGCCCTGATGATCGGTGCCCAGCAGTGCCACCCGCAAGTTCCGCCCACCTGTGCCCAGCAGTGCGCCCATTAGCTCCGCCCACCTGTGCCCAGCAGATCACCCACCTGTGCCCAGCAGTGCACCCACCTGTGCCCAGCAGTGCACCCACCTGTGCCACTCTGCAGTGTCACACACCTGTGCCCAGAAGTGCCACCTACCTGTGCCCAGCAGTGCCACCCACCTGTGCCCACCCACCTGTGCCCATCAGTGCCACCCACCTGTGCCCACCAGTGCCACCCACCTGTGCCCACCCACCAGTGCTGCCCACCAGTGCCACCCACCAGTGCAGCCCAGCAGTGCTGCCAGTCAGTGCCACCAGTCAGTGCCCAGGGGTTGTGCCAGTCAGTGCCGCCAGTCAGTGCCCAGCAGTGATGCCAGTCAGTGCCGTCTATCAGTACCCATCATCAGTGTCACCTATCAGTGCCGCCTATCAGTGCTGCATATTAGTGCCGCCTATCCGTGACACCTCATTAGTGCTGTCTATCAGTGCTGCCTATCCGTGCCACCTCATTAGTACTGCCTATCAGTGCCCTTTAGTGCTGCCTATCAGTGCCGCCTATCAGTGCCCATCAGTGCTGCCTCATCAACGTACATCAGTGAAGGAGAAAAAATACCTGTTTGAAAAATTTTATAATAGAAACAAAGAAACGTTTTGTTTTTTTTCAAATTTTTTGCAATTTTTTTATTTATAGCGCAAAAAGTAAAGCGCCCAGCGGCAATTAAATACCACCAAAAGAAAGCTCTATTTGTGAGAAAAAATGATCAAAATTTCATATGGGTACAATGTTGCATGACCGCGCAATTGTCAATCAAAGTGCGGCAGCGCTGAAAGCTGAAAATTGGCCTGGTAAATAAGGGGGTATAAGTGCCTGGTAGGCAAGTGGTTAAGAGATATAGACATAATATATGTGCCAATCTCTAGGTGAGGAGATGGGATGACAGAGCAAAGTTTGATTTTTATAGTAAACATTGTCCATTTACACACAGAGCATGGCTTGGCCCTGCCCAAACTCTCTCCTCGCTGGCTCTCTGGCTGTGATTGACAGCAGCAGTAGCCAAGGGCTCCCTCTGCTTTGTGAGCCAATGGCCCGTTGCTCTCATGCACATCACTGAATTAAGATGGGGCTCAGGTAAGTATAAGGTGGGCTGGGGAGAAACTGCCCCTAGAGGGTTTTTTTTTACCTCAATGCACAGAATGCAAAAGGTAAAAACACTTCTACCTTTAGAACTGCTTTAAGTTTCCTGTCATGCCTTTATCTACGCCTCCTATAACCTCCCTGGCGGTATGATTATTTCCGATTTTTGGTGCTGAAAGCGGTACCATTTTTTTGCATGGAAATATGTAGTTTTTTACTGTAGGCTGTAATTTTTAGGAATAACTCACTGAAATCTGTCCGAACAAGAGTCTAGTAAACATCCCGGATATGATAAAACTTGAAACACGAAATCATAAATTATAATTTAATAAATAATCATAAAAAATAATAATATAATAATAATAAATTTAATTCAATAATATAATCAAACCAAAAACACTGAAATTTGAAATACAGAGGCAAATTCGCACATCGCTAAGCAAAGTCGCAAAATTGTTTTCAGGGTCTGATGACGAATTTCCCCACGAATCATTATCACTCAATTCTGCAAGTGGTTCTAATTTACTATCGCTGTTCTCTAGCTGGTCTAAAACCGCTTTTGACCTAAAGGGACGCTTTTTGGACGCCATGGACTTTTCTAAGTTTCCAGGCAGAAAGAACAGTCAAAATGTAGGCAGGGCACAGGACAAAGCACTAGGGACAAAATATATGTGAAATGCATTGAAACAGCAATGTTTTACTATATAATAATCATTTTTAAAAAAATGACATTTTTTAAAAATTTCAAATTTGCTGCCGGTTCCGGCGCCCGTACGTCCCGACGTCACAGGGACCGGAACACGGAAGCTGGATGCTGGCATTGGCCAGAGGAGATGGCCAGGGACGCTGCAGGGAACACATCGCGGGAGCGAAGGACAAGGTAAGCGCTGCAGGGACTCCCTGAGCAACGCCGCATGGTAAGCCCGAGTGTAGCTCGGGGTTACCGCTCTTGGTACTGAAATTTTACCCCAAGCTACACTCAGGAATACCACCAGTGAGGTTAAACTAATATAGTATGTTGCTTGATTTAAAAGCTGTAGACATTCACTTTGGGTGTTTATGTTTACACACAAATCCTTCTGCTACATTGATTTACCTAATGTTATATTGCTTACTATGCAGCTACAAGAATGGATTTCAAGTAAGTCTTATGATTTACTGAAAAAGTAGAGCCTGTTCACTCTATAAAATGATCTTTGCAAAGTAAATTTTTTACTTATCTCAGTGAATGAGTAAAGTAAAATGCAATAAACCTGTTTTTTTTTTGCACCCACATAACTGGATGATTGAAATCAGCCCAGCTTCACTTTATTCATTAAGTGAAAAACTCTGAAATATGAAAATTCACTTTGGAAAGTAAACAGCCAATACTCTTTTAGTAAAGCAACCCCAGTGTATATAGGTTAAGATGCCCATTCCTTTAACTGCAGTTCAAAAAATTATCCTACTGTATGTAGTTAGATTATCTAGAGATAGAAAACTTTCACAAGAGAAAATATGATGTTTGACAGAAGTTAATTGATGACCAAAAATATTGCTTGGCAAGAATATATGTTGTGATAATGAGTTTACTAAACATACTGTACATTGGCTTATTTGGAAAGGCAGTGCATAATTTACTTACAATGTGCAATGTGCTGTAGACTATGGCACATGATAAAGATTTTATTTATTTATATATTTTTATATCACCTGACCTGATATCTGATTAGTAGGGGTTACTGCACTCTTTTTTATTTACTAAGTCTGTTAGCGTGCTTGACATGTAATCAGTTGCCAAGATAAATCACTGTAGATTTTTAAATGTGACAGTAAAGTGTAAATTATAATCTCTTCATTTTATTTCATTCCTCTGATCAGAAATCTGATGCAATGCTCATTAAGAATCATAGCGCTTTATATATCAAGATTGTTCTTGGAAATGTCTTGTTAAATGAAATACTCGATATTCATGTTATTTCATGCTGTGTTGGGATTTTAGAATCTCAAGCTTACTATGACTTTTTATTACAGGTCTTAGAATTCGACTCTTCAATTTTTCACTGAAACTTCTAAGCTGTATGCTGTATATAGTGCGTGTCCTTCTAGATGACCATTCTGAAGGAAACAAAGCATGGTAATGAATGTATACATTAATCTTTAACATTTTCTACAAGGTTATCTGTAAACAATTTGTACTTAAAAGATTAAAAGCTGAAAATTCGAATCCTAGAAATGGGTATTAAAATTGTCTGTCAGTTGAGATTTCATGTATTACTGAAAACTGGGGTCGATTTACTAAAGGAATCAACCAATCTTTTGCTAGCAAAATTCCTGTTTTTTTTTTTTCAGTTTCTCTCACCTGAAATTGTTAATCCAGAGTGAACGATAGTTTACCTTATTTACTTACATTCAATACTTTGCAAAGTATGTATTTACTGTCCTACGTGGACAACCTCTACTCCTTTAAATATCAACCCCATAGGTTACTAGCAGCTCTTTAGAATAAGATAAGATAAAATAAGATAAGAGGGTCTGTTGTTATTTTTAAATAAACTTACAAGAAAATACAGTGCCACTTTCTCAACTACAAACAAAAAGATGCAAGAATACAATAATGAAATGTTTTTTTTTTATGTGGATTTCCTTCTACCACTTAATTTTTCAATGCAATAAAACATTTATCTACTGGACTCTACATTACAGTTTTCTTCAACACTATTTATTTTAAATTACTCTTGAAAAAGGAATAATCTTAAAGTACAGTAAACCCACATTCTACTTTTCAGTGTTCAGCATGATGCGTCACCCTATATAGTTTTCTATGTATGCATCTTTAAGACTTTAGCTTGTGGCATGTATATGAAAGCGTATGTGGAGCCCATTTTTTTTTTAATTTTGGACAGTAATCAGTAATCAGAATTTTAGTTTCCTTTTTTGCTGTCTGTGTATCATTTCTGTCCTGGAGGCACAACAGGACATGCAAAGAGATCTCTAAAACATTAGGTAAGTTCCCCTATTAGACCTTTGTCACCAAAACAGATGATCCCATTGGAAAATATAGCCTCATTCCCTTTTTTGGTGAAAATGATAACATTTTGAATGTCTTAGCATTTTCTGTTTTTCTGACAATGGTCACCAAGACTTAGAGAGAGTGAAAAAACCTAGCAGTACCAGCAATCAAAAAACTTAAAAGGGGTTCTAACCCTCCCCTATTCTATATAAAAGTTAAAAATAAAATGTTGGTTCTACACTGAATTTAGGCAGTTTTTATTTTGTGGGTACTCTGGCAAGTGTGTGCATGTAGATAGTATGTAGACTCAAGTTCTTTTTAATTTAGCCTCTTTATGATTCTCTAACTGCCAGTTTAGTGTGGCCATACCTACTGTTTACTATGTCACCATATGCATGCCACATAATGTTTCTCTTTTCAGTTCCAAAATCCTAGCCACATCCCTAGAAGCAATGCTGTCTGCAGACCTGTTAGGCAACCTAACAGCCAACTGAAGGAGGAACCGCACAAAGCAGTATCTGAGGTCTGCAGCATAAACTCCCCCCAAAAAAGCATTGTTGTCGATGGACCCCGAGCGCCCAGCAAGAGGCGCAGGGCAGATAATTGTATACACTGATGCATAATGCCAAACATACTGAAAAATAGAATTTGGTACATAATAAACAGAAATAAAATGGACTGTACAGTATAGTACTACTGTATGTTAAAGCTTTATGAATACAAGCAGTTGGTACAGTCAGGATAAACTTTAGCATGCCTCAAGTGGGATTAGGAAATACATGTTTCTTTTTGACCTGAGTGTGCACTACTTCAGACTTGAACTGAAAAGCATATGATATACAAAGAAAGGTCTTTAAGCTGAAAGCTTTCAGTGCAATATGTACCCCTGGTACTTTTAATGGAATATGTGCTTTTAGTGTAATATATTTCAGACCATGGCAAAACCATTGCATGCATTCAATATTCCTTTTAACTATAAATCAATTGAGCTGCTTGCCATTTTCTTTTTTGCTGTTAGTGGTAAACATACAAGAGTGACCTTTGGCTGCTCTGCCTGGGTCTTTCATGTGTCACTTGTTACTGTATTTTTGATGATGAAGTAACCTTTGGTTAAACTTGCTTGCTTACTGATATATTAATTGCCATATATGTCTTAGCAAAGCAGGACACACTATACAGAGCTGCATCAGTGTGGGATATGGCTTCCAAATAAATTTGCAAGTGCATATAACCAAGACCTCTGTTTTTCTTACAAGTTGGT